TTCTCCACAAGGGCAAAGCAGAGCTAGCCTTCTGCTTTGATCTTGTAGCAAACTTAAGAAAGTTCAGACATCTTGAAATCTAGGCATAGACAATGTTTTGATTTAACGATGAATGAGCTAAAGGTCAACCTGAGAAAATTGATTCTTGTCATATTTCCAACACGGGTCACTTGTTTCATCCCCATGGACTCAAAGTTTGGAATCAAAACCCTCACTTTTAGTAAATTATATGTTGAAAATACCGAGAGTTCTAATTAGAGGTACATCCCAAATGCTAGCAGAGCCCCCTCTATTCATTTGCTCTTAGCTTTATGAGAAACTGTGATGTGGTTTTTTCAAAGTAATTTACCTTCAGGTTTAAAGAATGGAATATATGAGGAAAGAATTTTCCAAGTTTTATTGATTCAATAATGAATTGAAAAAAAAATGTTTATAAGATTACAGCTACTTGGTAACTCAAAAATAATTGATCTAAGAAACTTGAAATTTCATATGCTAAATGCTACATCCAGTGGTAAAATTCAATGTTCTAGCTACTGTTATTACAGAATCATCCTGATGAGCATCCACGGGGGAGCCTCACATCAACTGTTCCTATAAGGCCACAACGATTATTACCAGGAACATTTTATCCATGGAGACATAAAGATGGGCTATGAGATAGACACCTTGGAAATAGACTTGAACTAAGGGATATTAGGAATCAATTGGAACTACAAAAATAAAATATGTCAAAACTCACTCTCCTGCCACTGGTGGAACAAATGTTTCCAGGGACCTACAGCCAAGAAAATAGAAATCCATAAACACAAAGGCTAAGATAATCAGCCGAATCTACCAAGTTTCCATAAATGACAAAACAAAACGCTAAAAACCAAACAAACCAAAAAAACCCCACCTACTTTGAAGGAAAGAATGCCGAAGAGCTTTGACCTTTTCTGCCTGCCGCCTACCACAGAAATCCCGGCCTGCAGCTGATTTTAAAATTACCACATCTCCAAAAAATTATGGGAGATGGGTATCTTAAAAACACAATAGCTTTGATCTCATAGGTCAAATCCACATTGGCCTAAGTGGTAATTATTGAGGAAGGGGTAATCTACTTCATTCATTTTAGTAACCAGTTCTTTCTCAGTTAGATTTGCCACAGAGCCAGCCCAACTTAATTAAGAAAGCACAATAATATCGGATTGAACTATTTTTTTCAACCCAAGAATTTTTATTATAGAGAGAACGCTTGGACAATTTAAGCAATTATATGCTTTATTTCTCCTTAGCTGTATCTCCATTCTTGCTAATTTACAAGGTTTTGAATTCAACTTGCTTTATTCTTAATATTTTACATCTCGTCTTCTTCCTTTTATAAAAATTTAAACTACATTTCAGAAGGCTGCAGGGTAAGTGTTGGTGGCTAGTTTCTATGAGTAACAAGTCATATCCCCCGAGAACCCAGAGCACTGTCCTGGGGAACAGCAGGCCAAATTCTAAATGCCATGAAAAACCCTGCAGACCTAACACAGAAAGTCTAAAGCTTGAGCCATGCTACTGATCAGTTGTTGGGTCAATGTACCTTCTAGATTTCACCATATGGCTCCTGAAATACCAGGAGAGCACAACCTACATTACCACCGTGTGTGTGTTAGGAAGGGGTTACTGGGGATTGAAGCCAGAGCCTCCTGCATGCTCTTCAAGCACTCTTGCCACTGAACCAGAGCCCCAGCCTACCACTTCTTCTCATTTAGATGCAACAGCTGCTAAAGAGCCAGGTACTGTGAAAGAAAACTGAACTTGCAGTCAAGAGTCCAAATGTGTGGCTCCAGCTCTTCAGGGAACCAAAGTGTTTTAGAGCCATGGGCTAGGGTGTGCCCGCTGAAGCAGGCTATGCAAGTGCCAATCTGACTTACCCACTTTCTAGCTATGTGACTCTAGGCAAGGTTTTTAAATCTTGTGCTTCAATATTCTCATTCATAAGCCAGCAATGATGTCAATAACTACCATACCGAGTTTTTGTGAGGCTTCAAGATTCTAAAAGGGCTTAGCACAGAGCCTCAGCCCAGAGTAACTATTAGTACCAGCTGCATGACCTTGGGGATCACATTGACCCTCTCTGGGACTCTATCTCATCTTCTACTCTAGAAGGGATCACTGTCTCGTGTGGTCTTCAGGAAGACAGAATTAATTCAAACAAGATAACATATATAAAAGTTAGTTTTAGGGGCTGGGGTTGTGGCTCAGCGGTAGAGCGTTCGCCTAGCATAAATGAGGCACTGGGTTTGATCCTCAGTACCATATAAAAATAAATAATAAAATAAAGGTATTGTGTACAACTACAACTAAAAAAAATTTAAATAAGTTATTTTTAAAACATAATCAAATTTTAGACATCTTGTTCAACCAAGAAGAATCAGTTCCTTTCTTTTGTTCTGTTTCCATGATACTTAAAACATATGCATGTGTGCACACATACACACAATAGTGATCTGTTTACCTGTCCACTCCACTCCCCAACCAACAGTGTATCTGAGTCACCTCTGCATCCTCAGCACCAGATAGTTACTCAATTAATTTTTATTCAAATGAGCCTTGTCCAAACAACTGAGCAGGAATTCTTGAGGCCTTTTGCTGGATGGATTGTCACTTTTGCTTGGTGTCTTCAGTGGATCACACAGGAAGTGCTTGTTTTTCTCCAGTTAGAACGTACTGAGATTCTGCCAATTTTATGTGTTTGCATTTGTTTATTCTTTTCACTGAATAATTATTGAGCACCTGCTGACTGCAAGGTCCAAAGCTGAGCTCCGTCCAGTGTGCCAAGAGTGGCAAATGCCCAGATGAATTTAGTCCCTACATACTACATGTAGAAGGAAACTACTTGTTGTAGAATCACCTACTCTTTGAAATAATAAACTCCTTGGTTTGATGACTATATTGGATTGGATTACAGGAAAGAATGGGTTCCTGGAAGTAAAGGTCTTTATAGAATAATAATCAAGGTAAGGAATCTGACTGCCTGAGTTCAAATCCTGGATCTGGTTTGCAACAAGATGTAAGAACTTGAGAAAAATTCCTCTATGCCTCATTTTTCTCATCTGTAAAATGGAGCTAATAGGATTGGTAAGTTAGAAAGAAAACTCCTGGGAATCTTTTACAATGGTACTTGCCACATAAACAACACACAATGTGTGCTCTCTGTGATGATTAACCCCACTCTCCCGGCTCCCTCACCCCACTGTTTGAATTTCCATTGCAAATTTCCATTGCAAATGGGGCCTGGCTACCCCACCAGGGTCAGGAATTTACTACATCCTATGCTTGTCCATTTGGTTGCTAAGCAAATTGAGTTGCTGCTAAGTTTCAGGGAATTGAGCTATGCATTCTTATATCTTCCACTCATCGGTCTTCCATCCATCATTTGGGATTACCTAGAAGAAATAGAATCTGTCCAATGTGGAATGGTCCCTGGAACTTCAGAAGGCAGCTATGAACTGCCAGTTCTCACCTTCCTCTCACATGCCCACACATAGCCTTAGCTCCTCTTGCTATTTCTGATTAACACTGTTTACCAGATTCTTTATAATACTTTTTACTCTTCTTGAATAATCTCCTGATTTTCAACATCTGAATGTCTGAAGTCCAGCATTCATTAAATAGAGCAAATGTGGTCTGATCACCAGAGAGTATTAGAGAACTAGTTCCCTTTTGAACACCATATTTCTATTAACACAAAAGATTGATTTTTTTTTTTTGAAGCAACATCACACCAGGTTGACTCATCATCCACTCACAATCAACAGGGGACTAAATCTTTGTGACATGTGCAGTTATAAGCTATCCCGCCCCCACTCTATACTTGTATAATTGAATTTTGGGATCGTTGAGCACTTTATATTTGTACCCATTAGCTTTAGATTGTTAGATATGAGTCATTATTACATTTGTCAGGAGCTAGGGGGAGGAAATCCTGACTGTTGTGTGTCATCTGTAACTTTGTTCAGTATGCCCATCAATGTCACCAGCTTAGTCATCAATAAAAGTGTTAGGGGGCACATGGTTGCAAGCCAAACCTGTACTGGATCTAGAAACCTGGGTATGCATCTGCCTCTTAAAAACAAGACACTTTTAGGGGCTAGGGTTGTGGCTTAGCGGTAGAACACTCACCTTGCACGTGTGAAGCCCTGGGTTTGATCCTCAGTACCACATATAAATAAATAAATGAAATAAAGGTATTTTGTCCAACTACAACCAGAATATATATATATATTTTAAAGACCTTTATAAAAGACATCATTTAGGTATGGTGGTTCACAGCTGTATTTCTAGCTACATGGAAGAACATTTTACATGGGAGGCTGAGGAGGGAGGACCGCAAGGTTGGGACCAGCCTGGGCACTAGTGAGATACCATCTCAAAAAAAAAAATCATTCATTCAATCATCAAATATTTATTGAGTGCCTTCCATGAACTATTCCAAGTGCCGTACAAAACAAAATCTCTGCCCTCCTGGGGCTTCTGTTCTAGAAGGGGAAATAGACAATGAAAAATAAGAAGATATGTAAGTTGCATTCAATTTTATGAAAAATGAAAGCAAATAAAAGACTAGAGAAGTTGGACAAAGGGATGGAGGTGGGGACTGTCTACAGGCTGTATGGCTAAAGCAAAATGCGCAGGTCCTGCATTCCCGGTATGTATCTGACCCAAAAGTTCTTCCCAAGTGGGCAGCAAGTCTTTCTTGATTTCTCAACACCCCCTTTCTCTATATGGAATTATATTAGAACAAAAATCAATAGAGCAATGATGAAGAATTTAATTAGTCATGAAACAAAAAAAGAAAATTTGAAAGGACTTCACATTTCTCTGTCCACATAGGATATTCAAATATCTTAAGGACAAGTGGAGTTGCCAGGAAGTCAGTCACATCTCCTAATGAAGACTCCTGAGACTACAGGCACAGTACATGGTTGAAAGCAAAACAATAGAGGAAAAAGCTGAAAAGTACTGCTTACCTTATTCCAATCCCCATGTTCTCAAGAATGGAGTGAATTCCAAGTCCAATAGCCTGCGAAGAATCTGGAGGATGGGGTACTTAGGTGACCCCAAAGCTCGGCTCAGAGAGTCTGCACATTGAATTCTGGAAAAGAAGTCCATAGTGACAGATTGGAAATCTGCCTCTATCAACTGCTCTCTGCTCATGATTTTAATGTTGATTATTCTTCTAAAATATGTGTGTGTGTGTGTGTGTGTGTGTGTGTGTGTGTGTGTGTGTGTGTACTGGGGACTGAATCCAGAGGTGCTTGACCACTGAGCCACATCTCCAGCCCTTTTTATTTTTTGATTTTGAGACAAGGTCTCACTAACTTGCTTAGTGCCTTGCTAAGTTGCTGAGGCTGTCCTCACCCTTGTGATCCTCCTGCCTCAGTCTCCAAGTCTCTGGGATTACAGGTATGCCCAGTTCTTCTAAATATTTCCAATCTTTACATCCCTCTGTTATTAAGGGACTTGATAAATTTTTGTTTATTAAAATTCTAGTTGTGCCCTTTGGTTGGAAATTCATCTTATACCTCACAATGATACCTTTGGTATTTACATTCAGTCATCTATTTTGTACCATATACTTTGTTGGTGCTGGGAATAGGATAAAATATGGTCATTGCTTCCAGGAAGCTCACAATAGAGAGGGAGGTAGAAACAGGAAAGCCAGCTCTAAGGAAGCAGTGTGTTGAACAGAGAAAAGGATGGGAAGTGGGAAGTCAGTGACTTCTAAGCAGAAAGAGTTAATCCTAAGGAGGTGGCATGTCCGTTTCAGGTAGAGGCACAGCACACGCTGTGGAAATAACAGAACGGAACGTGAAGGCCAGATACCAGCCCTGAATGCACTTCCATGCAGGTGAGGCAGAGAGAATCAGGCAAAGTGGTCAGGGATGAGACTGGAGAGGTAAAAAGGACTGCATTATGCAGAAATGTGCAAGCCATGTTATCGAGGAGGTACCCTGCACGGGAATGGTGATTGATGACACGTTGACATTTCAAAGAGGGAGAAGTTGAGACTGCAGATCGGATTTTGGGCTTGGGCAATGAGGTGGATAGTGATGTCTCTCATAAGACAGTGGAAAACATGAAAACGACATGGACAGTAGGTGGGGGAGCAGGTGACCCATTCAGCCCTGGATGGGTTCCTTTCTGATGCCTGGTGAGCAGTCAGAGCAGCAGAGGGCGGTTGGTCCAGAAGTCAGAAGACACAGGTTTAGAAATCATAGCATGACCCTAGAATCCACAGTGAAGCTCACAGTGTGGGCAGAGGAAGGTCCCTGAGAAGCAGACCAGAAGGTGCAGCCAGAGAGACAGGAGCGACAGGAAGCAGAGCTTATCTCAGAGGATGAGGGGAAGCACATTTCACGTACACGAGGGTGGGGGGCAATAAAGGCAGATGCTGTCAAGAGATCAAGTAAGAAAGACTGAGAAGCCCCCACAGGTGCACCAAGGAAATATCTGACCATTTTGGTAAGGAGCTGGGCTGGTGGGGACAGAAGTCAGGTCACAGTGAATTGAGGAGACCACGGAACCAATGAATTCAGACAATATGTCAAAAGTTTGCCTTCAAAGTGGAAGAAGACATGATCCCTAGACCTTCTTCCCAAGGGAAGGAAATTGAGTCCTGAGGGAGGCCCATTTTCAAGGATTTTTATTTACACTAGCTCAGCTGACCACTGTTGGCAATGCTCTGGGCAGACATGGTCCAACCAGCAGCCCCAGACTAGGCCAGAACTGTAAGGTAAGCCATTTATTTATAATTTTATGTTCTCCTTGTAGGTGTTCCTGGGCCAAGGCCTGCTGAGATGCAAGAAGGTACGCTGACCTCTCTGAGCAATCCACCAACGACATGACCTACAGAGGGACACATCTGGTCAGACACGGTTCTCACAGTCATTATCTCTCACCTATTGTCATGGCTCATGTAATGGGAGCAGCCAGGGGAGGGGAGAGGAGTCTGGTCACCTTGGAGTCAGGAACAGGCAGCTGGCCCCACAGCTGGCCAGGCAGCTATGCAAGCAGGGAGTCTCTCTGAGAGCAAAATCCAGAAGCCAAAATAAGTGGGTCAGGTGGAAAACAGATGACCAGAACGGCAAGCCATGCTGAAGGTTGGTCCCAGGGAGTGAAGGTGAGCCAGGACATAATGGATGGATGCTAGAGGGGCTTTGGATGCTGCAGGAGTCCAGGGGGCCGTGCAAGAACAGGGACCAAAGAACCAGAAAGGAAGTAAAGCTCAGAGGCCCGATGCGATTACGCTGTCCACATGTCCACATCTCCACTCTGCATGCTTCTGAGGCCCTGCTTTAGTTCTCAGGCCTTCATGATACGAAGTTTCTGACATTCACAACAGTCCCCCAACTTTAATCCCCTCTCCTACCATCATGACCCTGTATTCTGAGGAGACAGCAAAGCTCTGGCCCAGGAGCTGCTAAGGGAGTGCTCACAGGCATTGGTGGTCACCAACCTAAAAAGGTCATAGGAATGGCTCTCCTTGAGGCGGAAACAGGCCTGACCGTTGATTTAGTCCCTGAGTGAATAAGAAAACTACCTAGTGACTTGAAAAGTGGAAACATGATTTCTAAATTATGATCCTTCCAGGACATCTAGGTGCTCTAAAGTGCACACTGTGAGGAAACCGAAAGGCTTAACGGTCTTCAGTTTGTGATTAGAGCACAGAAAAGAGAGAGAACACTAGCAAACAGCACGGATTAGCCCAATATTTTTGGTTAGTGTGCAGAAGGCCAACCGAGCTTTCAGCTGAAGACTTTTTTTTGTTTTGTTTTTCCATTTCCCTAAAGTCAATAATCATTTACCTGCTAGATATTGCTTAAAGCAGAATTTTCATCTAATTCTCATTTGAGGGGACTGAAAAGGAAAAACTAAATAATAATACCTCATTTGTGTATAATGCTTGTCTTTCACAGAAGACACCCTACCCACTTAGGACTATCTAATTTAGAGTAACAACGCTTTTATAATGTAAATACTAGTAAGGGCTATTATCATTTTATAAATGAGGCATGAAAGAAATCCAGGGAGGTGGGAATGAAATGACTGGTTCAATGTAACTTCCATTTAAGAGGTGTCATTGCTGGTTTATTTTTCACTTTTTATTAACAATGAAGCCACATTTTGGAGAAACATGTTTATTAAAGGTGTATCTCGCCCTTACATTTGAAAATGAAAAATCTCTTAGGGAGAAATAACAAGGACCAACATAGTCACGTGCTCCTCAGATCCAGCTGCCCTCAGGAATCTAGAGCTAACCAATCAACTCCCGGCCAACTCTGCTCATGCTCAGCAGGGCTCTCAGCACCACACACACCACAAGCCACTCTGGTGTCATCCCCTCTCGGTGGGAGTTATGTCATAATGGTCTTGTTGCCTTGACCTGGGAAGCGCCATTACCTATACAAATTTAGCACATGCGTAAAAGCACTGATACTCTTGTTCTTTCATGAGCTTCAGGTCAGAGAGTTTTTCTGATCTTTTAATGTATTTATTCATGTTTTCATTCCCTCACACTCTCAAGCATTCATGCATTCATTTGACAAACTTCTTGTGCCCAAAATGTATTATTTTAGATATCAAGCACTATTCTAGATGTTAAGGATAAAAACAAAATCAAAGACTTTAAGAAACGCACAGCCTAGTAAAGAGCCAGATGAAACAATTGCTGTTCATTGTGGAAGGTGAGGAGATAGAGATAAGCACAAGAATAGTTTGGGGAGCACTGAGAGAAAATCTGGCTTGATCTATATGGGGTGCCCACAGGCTTTGGGAGTCACCAACCTAAAAAGGTCAAAGGGATGGCTCTTCCTGGGGAGGAAACAGGCCTGACCCTTGATTTAGTCCCTGAGTGAATAAGAAAAGGGAAGGCCTTGGACAGAGGTGGTCTCAGAGCCAAGCACTCCTGGGAGAGGACCTGTGCATTCCGGGTATGGGGGACAGCATGTGCAATGACGTGAATAAGATCACTCTATGCATCTGGAGAACTGCAGAAGGTTGTATGATGGCGGGTGCTTTAGGTATTCTATGACTGGTCCTGTTTGCCATCTCAGGCCTTGAGATCCTCGTAAATGACTCTATAAAGGGAAATGTCTTGTCTGCAGTAGTGTAAGTAAAAACACTTTCTATGTGGATCTGTACTCACTATTTAAGGATTATCACAGACGGAAAAGCACACAGTCAAGGTTTCTCTAGTCTCCCCAAGATTTGTATTATCCATATTTCATTACTATTATCCTCCAGGGACTAATAGAAACAGCGGACTTTTTCATCAAATCTAGGTGGTCTCTTAGCCCATTTCCATTATATTTTACTATAAAAATTTTGTATGTAGAAATACTTCAAAATACAAGTGGGTATTGAAAGGAAAGTGACCACAACACTCGGAGCAACCAAAAGATCTTTATTGCAGCAGTGCAACAAAGAGAAAAGAAAGAAGGAAAAAGAGAGAGAGAGAGACAAAGAAGAGAAGAGGAGAGATGAAGAGGGAGAGAGCAAGAGCAAGA